AATTATGAATTTTCTATAGAAGCTGTTACAATAAGTAGTAGGTATTTATTGCTTTCCAATTCCATTAATCAATTGAAAGACAAACTAATAAAGTAATTGAAATCAATTTATAAACAGATGAAGTAGAAGGCAAATGAATAACACCATATAAAATGCATATGTATTAGCTACCAAGGTCATAAACAAAACTGCAGTGGCTTTGAACACTCAACTCATGTCAATCGAGGTATCAAAATCACATTATAGTACAGTACAGCCACTTATCACTGAAACAGTGAGAGCAAGGGATTTCCGAACAGCAATCTTTGGACCCAAGTATTTAGGACAACCAGCGGAGCGAAACACTTGCGACACAATCTGGACAACACTAACGTGGTCATCCCATTCAATTTTCACCTCTATGTTTACCCAATTTAGGTCTTTTGTAACTGCACGTGCTAACCCTGTTGGTAAAGCAAAAACCAGTTTGTAAGAGCTATGCAAATTGATGTGGTACCCTGTCGTGTTCTGTGTAAGTGCGGTGTGCGAACAGTGCGGGATGCCAAGATATAGTGGTCGGTACTCGTAAGGCGTTTTACGATGTTGAGAATGAATGACTTGTTCCGTTGCGAAAATTATATATGTGTAGTATGATGCAAAAGTTTGTTTTTGTTGTAACGATTGGTTTTGGTTTCATCGGAAAATGTGCGAAGATATTTAGTGTCTTTGTGTCAGTAAGCATGGTCTTCCACACACTAGGAAATCCATAAAATATTTTCTGTTCGTTTCTTGTTATAAATTATGTCAGAGACAAAGATGTTTTCTATCTAGGAACTGTTAATAATTATAAAGAAAGAGTGAAGTCTTAAACTATGCATTATTAAAGTTTTTGTCTTCATCATGTGAAATATGTATAACTAAGCTGAAAGTATATTATGCAAAACCACTAAATACTATTACTTAATATTATAGACACGGAAGTTTGTAAGTATGGGATCGTTACTCCTTCATATAAAAACTACTAAAAGGATGATGGACTGGAATAATTAAATACTTAGGCTACTTTTTTACACCATTTGTACCCTAAAACTGCAGGCGAAACCGTTGGCAGAAACAAAAATCAATCATCAAAAGCCGTATAGACTATATTGAATACTTTGCACGGAAAAAATCAAGGACAGACTCAAATACACAAATCTATAAGGACCATATTTGCGTGTAACAAATTTCCGGTACATTTTTTCACAACAGAGGTAACCTCATTAGCGAAAACAATTAAAAATTGAAACACGAATGTACGCAACATTCGATGTTTTCACAATAATTCTAACTAGTAGCAATCAAAGGATGTTCGCACTTACTGATTGCATTTTATCCGTTCAATACTGCGTGTATACATAATTTTATGTATATAATTATGTACTTGTTTATTAAAGACTCATTAGTAGAATTTGTAAGAATTTAACAATGAAATTGATTTCGTTTTATGTCTGTTGAATAGCAATTTAGTTAATCCAACATCCAAAATACAATAAACACTTTGTGACGTACAGTAATTTTATACTTATTGAGTTAAATAGCAGAATAATTATTTTTTAATTTATTGTTAGTATTTATGCATACAATCTGTGATGAAGCATAGTAACAAACCTGTTTTGTGTCGTTAATCACTATGCCTATTTTTCATAATTATGGGCCCCGGTATCAACTCGAAACTTTTCGAGCATCCTCGAAAAGTTTAAGCTATATAAGCAGAATGTTTTACTGAATAAAAATAATTATCTAATTACGAATAAAAAGAAATGAGATGAGAATATAACGTTATCTTTTAATTTTTTTATTTTGTTCAGATCTCTTAGTCAGGTAGAATGGCACCGGGTGATCCCACACCCGATGCCATTCTATCTGACGAACGGAGCGCTCTACGGCCCCTATATAGGTAGCCGCCAATCTACATAGGTATAACTACATCCTATACATACAATATTTGTTGGAACGATGAGAAAGAGAGGCAACGACTAGGGTGTTGTTTTTTATTACACAATTTAATTTAATTTGCAATGTATGTATGTATGTTTGTGAGGTGGAATCTTAGAACTTATTTGTTTTTTAGTTTCGCTAAATTCATAAAAAGTTTCCGGACTAATTGAACCACCTGATAATAATAATATTGTTTAAAAAAATAAATATTTTTGTTTAGCGAAAATTGTGTGTCAATTCGTTTTTATTTATTAATTCATGCTATGATACAGACATGCTATGTTATAATATTGGTGTCGGATGCGAAACAATAGATAAATAAATAAAAATAGAAACATGCATACAGGTGTATAAATAAAGGGAAACAATTTACAAATTGTACCCAACTAGGTGTATTTTTTTAGTGACCCAATGTAATAGTTCATTTACATCTTCTATTACCACTACTACAAATAACATTGATTTCAAGCTATACATTACTTGAAATATGTTTAGTTCAGATCTAGGTAACAATTACATACCTACGACGATTAATACTAAGACGATTAAACAATTATTACAACGACGATTAATTATATAAACGAACCTTTTTGATGAACACTCTGTATTCCCTACCACCCCTCAAATTTTCCCCATCTCTTAACACAGACACTCCCACTCCCAGTGGAGGGGGGAATAAAAGCTCAGTCGCGTTAACGATTTCGAGGCGGACAGACGCGTTGTGTCGATCGCGCGTGAATTGAATAAATAAAGAAATAAAATGTTAATGATCATGTGAAGTGAAACTGAATATACAGTGCTTCCTACCATGTCTTCCTATAGTGCTTCTTGGAGTGATGCAGATGGATTAACGTAGTATGTTTTTAAAGGTTATATTAGCGCTTTAGTTAAGTGTTGGTTCAATTTGGGCTATCATAGGTCCGCAGTGTGCTATAAATTTTGATATACCGCTAACTATTTGGTCAACTTTATGTAATGACGCTCAATTTAGTTAGAGTTCTTTTTTTTGCGATCGTCTATTATTTCCTGCCTTATTTTTTTTTGCTGTAATTCGTTTATTAAATACGTTTACATTAAGTAATATTTGTAGGAATTTTCTCGATTTTGTATGTTTTTGAGAAATGAGGTTATCCTTTGTGATTTCTATCTCATTCCATTTAATATTCAGAGTCTGTTGCAAGGATTGGGGTGAGATATCAAAAGGCCAAAGGTCATCGCTTCGCGCAAGCGAAAGTAGTCGTTTCGACCTACGTCAAAGTTGTTCTCAGTATTACGTTACTAGCACTTTATTACAAAGAACTGTACTTGCCCACATAAAGTGATGGACTTAATCTTATTATATTCAAATTAGAAAGAATTTTTCAAAGATGTAAGTAATGATTGTATCGTAATATCTATGTAATACCTTGTAGAGTTTATGGACACCTTGTTTTACAAATGGTGTGTTAGATGTAAGATTTTAGTTTCATTAATAGTTTTGTCTTTTTTATACCTACTCATTTAGAGGCCCACCCTTTCTTTGCGCGGGTGTACAGCTAGGTACCTCAATAACAACAAAAGGGTTGTTTTGACCTCTATTTCCCAAAATTGTCTTTTATAAAAACCCTTCGTGACACAATAAGCATAACAAACAAGTGATAAGCAAAATTGAACTAGAGCTGGATGAGTTATGCGTTTACGAATACATTATAATTTTGGTTCGTTTTTATATAGATGTAAGTGTAGACGAGTGTCTATACTTTATTTGAATCATTTTCAGCATTGCTTCACTTTTCAAACGTTTAGATCTATAAATAAATTCAAGGAAGAGAGAAAAATATGCCATTTAAGAACACTTTAATATACCAATAGCCACTCATCTCAAAGCCTACATACTTATGTACGTTACATATTATTAATTTTGATAATCATCATGACAAAGCAATAAAAATGGGCTGTTTCATGATGACGATGATGATAATACTTAAGGACGTGTAAATAATACAGTTAAGTGCAAAAACGTGAATATAATTAGCTGAAGTCTACAGAACAAAAAGACAAATTTAAGTTTGGTAGCGTTATCTAAATAATATATGCGTTATTCATAGCGTAGACTTTTCACGTGTGGGAGAGCCATGCTTTGGCACGAATGGGTAGGCTGGACCGGAGTGATACAACGGCCTTACAGAAAACGGGCGTGAAAGAACCACAGCGTCGTGTTTCACCGTGTGAGTGAGGTTACCGGAGGCCCAATCCTTCTCCCCCCCCAATCCCTCCCTAATTCCTAAATCTTCAAAACATTAATCCCTAAAAGGTAGGCAAAGCACTCGTAACTCTTCCGTTGCGGGTGTACATGGGCGGCGCTGATTGCTTACCATCAGGTAATGCGTCTACTTGTTTGCCGACATATTACATAAAAAAGACTTACCTATCTAAGCAGCATGTGGTTTATAAAATGACGTTCCATATTCAAATTGTTCTAAATTGGTGCTATCAGAGTTTGTGATACAGGCCCCTAATAACTACCAAAAATAAATGTAATAATTTTAATAATAAAAAAAATACATTATCAGAACTATTTTTAAATATCGCTATAAATAAGTATATTTAGTAAATGAGAAACAATAAAAAGTAGTCAGTGTAAAGGTACAGATCAGCAGGTCAAATCGTCTTCGATTAGAATATAATTTTACAAAAATAGATTTAATACTGTAAAGAAAGTTACAGTTATACGACGATATAATATTGTTATATTCATCATATTGAATTTCAATGATACACACATTCAAGTAATTTTTTTTAAATAACCAACAATACAACAACAACAGTACGCTAGTCGCGGTCTGAAATAGGTCTGGCGCCAAAATGTCGTCCAGAAATTACTCTTTTATTTAAACAGCAACCTCTTTTATATATTTTTACATCTGTTTTGTCTAATAAACAGATTTTCAATGCTACGGTGATCATACAACTTATAATTTTTATGATTGTTTTTTTTTTATTACGTTTTCTCTGCGTATTAGTATTTCATATTTAAATACATATATTTTTGTTTGTTTCAGGCATAACGGATCAGTAATTCAACCATACAATGCAGGGGAGCCTTTCATGACAAACGAGTAGAAGTTTTCTGTGCAAGTAGTACCTTAAACAAACAGAAGATGGCGCTTTTCAATAATTCATTCTCAAGAACTTACCATCACTTATTTGTCGAATTAGCTGGTGAGTAAAAAAAACATTCTGTATTTTTATATTGTTCTCTAATTAAATTTTATTTTTCTTAAACTCAGAAATAATTTATAAAAACTAACTTTTATTTGTCCCATTGCGGTCTTTTGTGCGATGACTTCCTCATTTAAAGTTCTTTAAAACCGTCTTCTATGCCTTCTGCAAACGCGGTGATTAATTCTCAATCCTTCTCCGTGTGAGACGAGGTCATTACCTAACAGTACCTATTTAGTTTAATAGTTATTAAACAAAAGGTGTAAAAACAGTAGGAGTTTTGTAACTAGGTACATATTATCAATGTACTAAGTGTATTGTGTAGCACTATCTGGAACATAAGTCAACCGCCTGTAATAAACCTTATAGCCTTATACCTTATAGTATTTATCAAAATTGATTCAGTACTCTCTACGTAAGGGGATTACAAACAACTCAAATTGTAAAGATGTTAGAAATCTTATATATCTACACATATAATCTAGATATCTGCAAAATGTAAAAAAGGAAGGTATGGATTGTTGCGCAGCGTGTGATACGAGTAGGTTCAATTCCCGCATCTGTGCGGCAATTGAACCCGAACAACATCCACAAATTATTGTTCCGAGTCTGTGAGGTGTTATGTGTATGTGAAATTGTATGTTTGTTAAAGCACCAACAACAAAGGAGATAGTGTTACTTAAGTGTGGGGAAACGTAAAAAAAATGTTTTCTAATTATTTAATTTTCTTTCGTATTTCAGATCCCAGAACAAACGACTGGTTTCTGATAAAGGATCCGTTGCCCGGTCTCACTATCATCGGCCTGTACCTATACTTCTCGTTGAAATGGGGGCCGAGGTACATGGCAGACAAGAAACCCTTCCAATTACAGAAGACTTTAGTCATTTATAATTTTATACAAGTCGTCGTTAGCGTATGGTTGTTCCATGAGGTGAGTTTTTTTTTATGTAATTTCTCGGCAAACGAGCAGACGGATTACCTGATGGTAAGCAATCAGCGCCGCCCATGGACACTCGCAACGGAGGAGTTACGAGTGCGATGCCGACCTTTTAGGGATTAGGGATTTGGAGATTTAGGGATTGAGGAGGGATTGGGGAAGGGGAAGGATTGGGCCTCCGGTAACCTCACTCACACGGCGAAACACAACGCAGTGGTTATTTCACGCCGGTTTTCTGTGAGGCCGTGGTATCACTCCGGTCGAGCCGACCCTACCGTGCCGAAGCATGGCTTTCCCACACTTTTTGTCAAAATCTCATTTTTTCATCTTAGGGAGTGTCAGACTCTTACTGACTAAAAACCACCGTTCTTTTTCCTGCTCCTGGTATTAATAATTGGTTCTCTTCGAGTCATATTTATTAAATTTTGTCAACACTGTTTTTACAATTTAGTTCAAAATCTTCGTGCTTTGATTCCTTCAGATATTTAAATGGATATTCGTTTAATTATTTTAAATAAAATATTGAGATATTTTCTATTATTAATAAAAATTCCGTTTAACAAAACTTGTAGAATGTCTTGTTATATGAAAAATTACTTTAACGTTATGTAAAAAATTACAATTTGTAGAAAAATGTATTTTCACCAAGATATTTGTACCTAACAGAAGAAGTTAATAATAGTAAAACACAATGAGTTTCTAAACAGAGTTGACAAACAGAAAAGAAAGTACCTAATATAATATTTTTACCTATGATTTCAGGGCCTCGACGCGGGCTGGTTGAGGACTTATAGTTGGAAATGTCAACCGGTTGACTTCTCAAGAACGCCGGAGGGTATGAGAGTGAGTATCTTTGGTATTTGTGGCACAGCATCAATATTTGTTTACAAAACATGGAGAGAGGTTCTTTAGAATATTTTTTAGTACTTACCTACTATATTTTTATACTTACTGCACTAGGCGTCTGAACCAAACGATTCTTACTGCTAATCGAACGAGTGAATACAGAAAGGAACGTTTTGGGAGAGGGGATGGGGGATTAATTGACACTAGCATTCGATTGACTGTGGCAAAACTTCCATGAAATCTGTAAATCTTTATTAAATCATTATACATAGTAATCTTAGGGTCTTTTAGCTTTACCTGGCTTCTAATCTCGCTTGGGTTGGTTTATTGTTGCTTCTGATATTAGGGTTTAACGGATTAACTGCTATACTCAGAGAAATTTAATAATTACTTAATCTGTTCCAAAAACAGTTGATAAAGCCCAGTAAATCTTGTACAAAGTAGCCTATTATCTATTTTAGACTATTATCTACCCATTTGCCAAAACTCATTAAAATCCGGTCAGTAGTTTTTACATAATAAGCATCCATTCATCTACACATACTTAAATACTTCCCCATTCAATTCCCAAAGGATAAGGTCAGAAAGCATTATGTATGTTTCATGCCTAAGCTACTACTTATTAAATAGGTACATCTCTGTTCAATCAACTCTTGTAATTTAATGTTGTGGTGTTGCTAATTGATATTGCCTTACACAGATAAAATTTGCATGCGCGAACCTTCGGAAGCGAGTTCTCCTCTTGTAAACATTAAAATGAAGATGATTATGCAAATGATAAATAATAGGATAATTGCATGCTTGAAGTACAATGAAACAAGCGCATGTAATATTATTTAATATTTTATATTCAAATATGATTAATCATTATTATTATAAATAATATATAATAATAAATATTCACTTATGAAAGCATAAAAAACTAACTTATAATAATGTTAATGTGGATTAATTGATACCTTATATTTAATTAATTTGTTAGAGTATTTCATGTAAGAAAACAACTGACAATGTGAACTTAATATTATAATCTTGTCTAGGAATAAAATTATAAAATAACAAAATATAAAAATGTAGGTAGGTACATGTATTTGTTTAATCACAGATGCACTGAATCACTACATAGTAGTCAGAAGTCTCTTTTTATATTCCTTTTTATGGACACTTAAGTCTTATAAATAACGCAACATATTGTGATGCGGTTTTTTTAATAAAGTGATTGAAGAAAGAGACTTTAAATTTATGAGGAATTAGTTATAAACAATCCATGTGTGTGAAGCCAGGTCGTTAGTATAGATAGAATACAATAAATAAACATACTTAAGTATCAGTATTTGTAAAATCAATCAATCATTCGAACCGTTTTAGTAGTGTCCATGTTTTTATCCTAAAAGTTTGTATAAAAGCCGCCTGTATGACGTAAATGCTCTAATTAAACTCTTAATCGAGTTTAAAAGAACTCCACGTAATACGGTTGGACAAACCAACTAATCATTATACTTACCTAAATTAGATGAAGTTAGAAACTCCCAAAGCGTTCACAAAAGGAATGTATATCGTCAAGTTACTCGTTATAAATAGTAGTTACATTGAAGTACTGTTATTATCCGTCGTTAATTAAGTCCGCTCTAGTAAGTCTCGTACTACTTAATTATTACGTTGTCATAAAAGTTCGTCAGTTATTCGAGGCTTAAGTGTGTAGTGCGTTATTTAAAAGAGTTAAATCATCTTTGATTGGCTGCTCATCGTTATTAGGTGTGTGATTAGCAATATTGAGGGTTTCAGAGCTGGTTTATAAGAAGACTTACAGGTCCTGAGAGTGGTTTCGTTTTAGTGAGGTATCAATCTCACAATCCCTAGTTTTACACCACAAAAAACAAAGCGCGAGGTTTTCCCCCGTAAAAGTTACTATTTCTTTGTTGATTTATTAACCCCTTACTGATCCCGCTGTCCTCTCCGGAGATTAGCGTTTCAGATAAACAAACGAACTCTTCAACTTTATAATATGTTTAAACATTCTAACATGGTCCATGTCTATTTTTCAGGTTGCTAGAGGGGTCTACATATACTTCCTGGCGAAAATGTCTGAACTCCTCGACACGATTTTCTTCGTCATCAGGAAAAAAGATAGACAGATCACTTTCCTCCATATGTACCATCATACTGTGATGCCAATGATATCCTGGGGAGCCACCAAGTACTACCCTGGAGGTCATGGCACTTTGATCGGAGTTATCAACTCCTTCGTTCACATTATTATGTACACCTACTACATGTTCTCAGCTATGGGACCCCAGTTCCAAAGGTACCTGTTCTGGAAGAAATACATCACTACACTGCAAATGGTATGTACCGATTGATTATATCTGACGACATTTTAAAGAAATTTTGATATCATTAGACGTTGTGCTGCTCTTTATTAAATAAGGTAACGTTGGGATCATTAGGTCTTAGACGAATTACTCTTTTTAATTTCTCTTTATTTCTAATTCGAGTCTTATTTTTGTCTTCCAGCTCCAGTTCTGCATCGCCTTCCTCCACTCCGCGCAGCTGCTCTTCTACGACTGCGGCTACCCTCGTTGGTCCGTCGTCTTCACTCTACCTAACTCCATCTTCTTCTACTACCTCTTCTACGATTTCTATTACAAGGCGTATGGCAAACCTACCAAGAAGGGAGATGACAAGAAAACAGATGCAAAAGAAATAAAGAGCAATGGCCATGCGAATGGCAAACATGTTGCCAATGGAACTGCCAATGGAACCGCTAATGGAACCGCTAATGGCAAAAAGATAGCCAATGGCAAGAAGGTTGAATAAATAACTCCAACATTGACATGTAAATATTTTTATTGTTTAATACCAATACCAATTTTAGTTGTAGCTAATTTTGAATATTGATTAATTTTAAAGGATATCCAAGTAACGAATGATGAACAAATTCATGATCAAAATCATTTTCTTTAACCGTTACTGGATTAGTGAGTACTTGTTCAACATCTGACTTCGTTTTGATGTTATTATATGCTGTGTATAGTACTTCTAATTTGTTGGATTCTAATTATTTTACGTCTTCAGTTATGGATAAGAATGTTATGGTGTATATAATATAGATTGTTACGATCATGTATTTAAGACATTATTGTTTAAATTAAGATGAGTATATTGCCATGAAACTCAAAGTGTCATGCTTTTGTGCATCTGCTATTATTTTTCAATCAACGTTTATGTTATGAGGGCTGCAGTGATTTATGAACGCATCAATTTCATACAGATCTATAGTATGCAATTTTTCTTTAACTTTATATTACTGTATTTTTTATATATTTGGAATTTCATTGTCAATAAGAAACTGTAAGAAAACGTGATAAAAATTAAATTGTCTTCCAATTATTTAGAGTATTTCTTCCACGTTGGCATGGACTGCTGTGAGACGCAATTATTTCTAGCTAAATTTAATTCAGGGTCAACGACTCTTGATAGATTAATATGGCAATATTTTTAAAGGAATTGCCAAAAATTTAGCCCCAATGTAATATTAAAAAAAAAAAATACTGAGCAGTTTCGTTCAGGGAAACCGAGCTTCACGTTGCTTCGTAATTAATATCATAATTAAATATATTTTGTTATTTATTTCCAACATAATTTCGAACAAATGAAGGTGTTCAATTCTGTTTTTTTGTTTTTTATTTTATATAGCTTTCAAAAATGAATCATATACGTATACTCTAACCACCTAGATATTTTTCTACGAATTTAATAATAAAGCTACTTATTAGATTGTACTGGTTTTTACAATTATCTGACGTATTATAGCAATTTAGATTTCTATAAGCTCAATACCAAAATGTGACTAACAGTGTTTACATACTTAACTATAACAAAAAATATAATTAGGTATATTGAAACATCTATTGATTGGTACTATGCTTCAATGATAGTTTTAAATGAGGTCATAAAGCAAGAAGTCCGCGTCATGTGATTGAGGTTCTATCTGAAATTAGAGTTTTAAATTTACTGTCAACAGATGGCGCTAGTGGTCTAAATGATCTCGAGTAGAGTCTTTTAGCGACACTAACGGCATCTGGTGGCAACAAATATATTTTTTGTAATAATTGAGTGTGTTCACCTTAAATCTTAATAAGCAATTGTTCAAGCATCTTTCATTATACTGTAGTTGCACATTTATAGATTAAAGAATTGTACATTTGCGTAATCGGGTTTGTAATGTTTAACAATATATGTGACTACGATATTTCCTTGTTTTTTATTTTATTTTAATATTTTCTATGCGATTGTCAGCACATCAATTAGGGATAGATCTGAAGGAGGAACTTACACCTTTAACCAAATATTTTCCCGTATTAGTGTTTATCATTTGTTTATTTTTCATAATTTAATAATATTTTTTATAATTCAGAGTTTTTAAAATGAATTTTGCGCAGTTTTGTGTGTGGGAACGTCACGTTATTCAACTTTAAAAACATACTCATATATAACTATACTAATAATTATAATATAACGCAAATAAATCTTATTTTTTTCTTATATAAAAACGTTACCACACACTAGGATTTTCTCCTGTGTCGTGAGTGCGTTTACAAACATACAATTTCACATGCACATCACGCCTAGACCCGGAACAACAATCTGAGCCTCACACAAAGATTTTTTCTGCGCGGGAATCGAACTCGCGACACGTTGCGCTGCAGCCAGTTGCCCAGCCACCGTGCCAACCGTGCAGTCAAGTCATCAAAAAGATGAAAAATCTATGAATTCATAGTGAACCAAGTACTTAACTTTTGTAAAATGCACCTTTAAATATGTATGTCTAAGGAGCCAAATTTATTTTTTAAATATTTTATTGCATTCAACAATCTGAAAGGACGGATTTCGATGTATTGGTATAAAAAAAAGGTATTGGTATAAAAAAACTCTGTCTATCTGTCTGTCTTTTCTTCACGCCTAAACTACTGAACCAATTTCTATGAAATATTGTTCAAAAATAGTTTGGAATTTGAGAAGTCCTTTCATCATAAATAGGATAGCTTTTATACCAAAAATCTGCAGGAACTCATAATTCACGCGTACGAAGTCGCGGCCAATAGCTAATATTAAATAAAAATAACCGCTTGATATCAACCATTTATTTCAACCTCATAGATTATTCATGAAAAATATTTACAATTTGCATAAAAAAAAATTAAAAACTTTACAATTTTTAAAACTATTTTAAAAAAAATTGAGAATAATATCAAAGTAATAAATTAATTATTTTTCTCCTCCATTTAAATTAATTTTGACCTGCAGATTGCTTCTGTCTCTTGGTATGGTTGGAAAATACTGACGTATTGACTTCTAGCGTCATAACCAAAAAGTCTGTCATTTTCTCCCAAAAGACTTTTACTTATATCGCTTAGCTATCGAATAATTTCACGAAATGGGATAATCCCTTGTATTATAAGTACAAAGTCAATGGATACAATTTAATAATAATAATTTAAACATAATTTTAAATAATAAAGTAGTACATATTATTATATGTCTTGTATCAAATTAGTTCCTTATTTACATAATATTTCTAAAACAAAGAGAATAAAGAAAATGTTTGAGAAAATCAATTATAAAATATAAAATTTTAAACAAATTGTTATTTTCTGGATGATGATGATGATTTTATAAATGTTGTCCAAATTGAATGGACGTTAAAGCATGAAAGAAAAAGAAAAAGTATAAGAAAGATGTCGATATACAAATACATAGATATCAAAATGAAACCATTTTGTGGTATGTCACACGCCATAATTCTTTCAATAATAAGGTCCAACTCAATTCAGGGCACTCAAGTAAAACACCTACATAATATTATAAACACATTTGTATACATACTTTTCCTACTCTAAAAGTACAAAAGAATATTTAAAATAATTTTATTATTATCTAATTTTATATTTCACGAGAAAATTCCTCAGCAATTCGTTCAAAATACTTAATTACGTCTGCTCTCCTGCCCAGGTATTCCACCAACATCATGGATTGTCATACGAATGAATATAAGTAGTATCTACCACTTATTTATAAGTTGTGTCAACGATTTATAAATCATAAGTTGTGTCCACCACTTATAAGTTGTATCTACCACTTACATCCAATTACCTTGATAAAGCTTTTGACAAACAATGCATATCTTGCAACTATTAATTACCATCAACATAACTATTACCATATGTTTTTTTTCAGCCATTACCTGGACTTAGTGTGAAGGAATCTAGGTTTAAATTTATACACTTATATAGATATAATATTAATATTCATTACTGCCATATCATATACATACGTTAGACAATTGGTTTCATAGGAAAGCAAATTCTCTAACCTCTATATAAATGTTAAAAAACAATTGTGCAGTACCAAATGTATATAATCATGTACTATGTTCTACGAATAAAATGAAAGAAAAAACTATAGAAAACCAACCGTTAAAACATCACAGCCTAAAAGAATCTTAGGGAACTATTCGACAATTTAGCTCCGTTCAGTTTATAAAAATAAAAAAGTATATAATACACAAGTCTATTTCATACATTAAAAATAATAATAAATAATAAACTATTTACAACAATCGTTATGAAATAAAAATTCAAAAAATCAACTTTTACCCAATAACCCTTTTCCAATTTCAAAATCAAAAAATGTCAATGTCATCACAGATATTTCGTTTTTCACTTATTAATTTATTATTGCACTCTATTCTTCTTTTTGTAGGCACAACGATGGTAGGGAGACATTGCTAATGATGCCAGCTCTTTTCTTATTGTAGCTCTGACGGTAGAAGTTGAGGAAGAGTAGGAGTATGACTCCTGTGTTGCATGACACAAAAATGGCCACACCTCTTGCTGGTGGACACTCTGACACACGTACAGTTGCTACGTATTGGATGATGATAGACACGAACTGAATCTATGGAAAAACAACGAATAATGTTGTTATTTTTCATGTATTTGAAACGTTATGCTCGGAGGTTATGCTGCATGAGGAATGAATCGCGACAATTGCAAATGTAACTTCTAAGTTGTATGTAAGTTTTTTAATACTGTTCTTACTTAATCGAACTTAATAATGTAACAATGAATATGTAAGCACGTCAAACTGATTGAAAAAAATAAACATGGAGTTTCTTGCTCGTTCTCTATGGAAATCTACACTTCGTACGAGCCAATAGCTTCACAAAGAGGACCCACTATTGACCGACAGACTGACACGTTTTATTTTAAAATATGGCGTTCAAAAGTGCCTGTAAGGAACTAATTGAAATACATTATTTTTGACTGTTTGATTTCGACACCAATGATACTGTGCTAGCATAACCATCGCAAGGAAACTTCGACTTGATATTTTTTTCAGAAAAAGTACTACCTAAAAGTTCCTATAAGTATGTCATATAATCCGGACAATGGAGGTCCTGGGACCGATCTAACTAATATACCAGATATCTCCTTATAGGTGTTATCAGCCCCTGTAAAATAGTTTTAGGGTGGTAAGAACTTTACATGGCCTAAAACGTTTAGGTACTTTTGAAAGTTCCTCCGTCATCTGTTTTAGAACTAGTTTACTTAGATTTTTGTTGATTGACTTAGTTCAACCAGTATACAATAGATTTGGAACCAATTATTCATTATTGTTTTAACTAAAGGCAATACATACCTAATTATTAATTAAAGTACAATATTGACTAAATACTGCAAAATAGAACTTACCAGCTGGAATTTAGTCATATACTTTTTCCACCACAAATATTTGGCCACATTTGGCCCCAAAGCAGCCAATCCATAATAAGTATACATAAATACATGCACCAACGAATTGAGGAACCCAATGAAGATGAGTGTATGCGACGGCCAATATTTGAGCAAAACCCAAGTGCCAATCACCATGACCGTGTGATGATATAGATGTAGAAAAGTAATTTGGTTATTCTTCTTTCTTAGAACGAAAAATACTGTATCTAAAAGTTCTGATAGCTTTGCTGCTAAATATAGATACGTGCCAATAAGGATCTGGAAAAGAATAAAACTTTAATTAGATATGTTTATACGTTTCTGACAAAACATTTAAGGATTGGTTAGTGCAATTTTCAAAAAACTTTTGGCAATAATGACAATAATGGTTTTAAACTTTTAATACATTTTTTTAGTGTTTCTGTAATTATCAGAGATGCTATGGCCAATACGGGCGTTTTAAAAAATAGAGTAGTACCGTACTATAGAAAAGTAGAGTTCTACCTCTTTATAGTTTTGATACTTACTCTGTTCCTTGAGCTGTCTTCATTCATATAACACTTCTTTGGAACCAGACCCATGTTTAAGAGATCGAGCAGAAACTGAAAATGAAAAATAAGTAAACAGTTTAGTTTAGAAGATTTAAATGAAAATAATTATAGAAGAAATGTTCAACCAAGCCCCTACAAATGCATATTGTTGCACATGCTACGAAAAATATTTTACACTTCCTATATGCATTTTAGTATGCCTCTTGTAGTATCAAACGCTTATTTAAGATCTGTACCAGTAAAATACAACTGCTTTCTTATTCATGGGTATTGATAAAGATCGCACGAATAAAAATCATATTATACCAGATTATACCTTATTATCATTTTCTTCGTTGCTTAGCAACCGTAGCGAGTTATAAAGCCATAGATGATCAAGATACTGGTCAAGCAGCGTAAAATTTAAATTAGAATCTCCCATCACACACGTGAGTTTATCAAAATTACGCAATTCAAACAATTAGTTAGTATGTTTGTACATCACATAGTTTCCGAGTACTTTTGTGGAATAATTTTACTCTATTTGGTTACCTAATTCAACAAGGTACGCATTATTATGTCATGTTGACATAATACATTTTAGGGAAAACCATTAAAAGTTGTTGACTTTTAAGGTAAATATTTGCTAAAAGTGAACGTTATTATCGATTCAAGTGTAGGATATACTTTGACACGATAATTTATTGAAAATCATGACTATCACGTAAATTACATAGTTAAGAGGCGCTCGCAACGTCACCGCGATGCGCACGCTTTTATAAAAAGGAGCCTCGTTACGACTTGATTGTAGTACCTAGAGTTTTTCTCGGTTAGTTAAAGTGAGTTAGAAAGAAGAAAGAAAGAAAAGTATTTATTTTAGCGTCTAGGACGCACATGAGACACAGAACAAACAAATAATCAAACACAAAAACAAAAAAAAAACTTAGTCATTATTTTAAAATTTTTTTGTATGTGACACGTTAGTGACACGTAACCAAAAACAAAAAGACCGGCTTGATCAGAGTGATCGAGCCACCGTCTCACAGAAAATGGGTGCCTAACAAGCTAGCAGTATTTAGCTGCGTAAGTGAGGTTCGTACCAATACCTAGCAACTCTATCCCTCAAAAAGCCAGCAGTGGTAATATTCTCAGGGAAGTGATCGGCGGCGGCGACCTCTCGCGCCCGGCCTTAGTCGAGGCCATGGTGCGGAGTGAGAGGAACTGGGACGCCGTCTCCTCCTTTTGTGAAGCAGTCATGCTCGCAAAGAGAGAGGCGGCCCGCGTGAGGGAGCAATCCTCCTCCTCACGCCCCAGCAGCCGCAACTGGCGACACTACGGGCGTCGGGGATCGAGGGACGATCTCCGGCCACCGTAAGCACGGGCCTGCGGTCGGCGAGTAAGGGCAGCTCGCCGCCCGACCAGAACCAGGCCCGAGCGTATGGCGCGTAGCGTTCCGCGCGCGCCTCAAAGAGCCATTAGACCACCACAGATGGGGCCCTAAAGGGCTGATGTTCAGCCGGGGTTGCGGGGTAAGCGCAAAGAGGCACCGCGACCTCGGCACAGAACAGGAGAAGGAACAGGGGGGTTTTTAGTCAGTAAGAGTCTGACACTCCCTCCTGCCCGGCCCTGGGCGGGAGAAGTCATTTGATGATTTTCCCCTCACAAAAAAAAAAAAAGCAGTGGTAATATTGGCTACGTTGATTGCTTATCACCGGGTGATAACCTTCCTATCTAACCTATTCGTTTTTCGCCCAACCAAAATAATAACAGTCAAACACCCTATACAAATCATTTGGGCAGACAGTCAATCATATTGTTGAGGCAACCGACTAGACAATATAAAGCATAGAAATAGGAAGCAATGTAAAGAGGATCAAAAATAATACTCACTCTGTAAACCATATAAACAGAAAATGCAACTTGGATGGCATTATAGATGAGTAGTGTGTATGTAAGCTTGTATCCCTCCCGTTTTCTCATGAACACTGGACCAATTTTCAATACGAAGACCAAATAAACTGCCAAAATGGTGAGAACTGGTCCAAGTGAAGCCATGAATGGGAGCTCGTCGATTTCCTCATCTGGAATGAGAGCAAGAATTCGTTTTAAGATTGTTTTTGCTTTAAATTTATTGTGTACCGAAAAAAAATGCAATTGCATTGTATTATTTACTTTTTTTTTTCTATGGGCTCATTTGTGATTTTGTTTTTTTTTTTTTTTTGGTTCTTGGATGTGTTTAAAGGTTATTTCACATTCATAACATCCAGACCCGAACCAACAATTTATGGATTATTCAAATATTTTATTCGTGTTGCGCAACAGCCAGTTGCCCAGCCACCGAGCCAAAAGTGCAGTCATTTTATCAGCGTAGTAAGTAAGTTTCCATCGAATCTTGTGAATACCAATATTTTAACATTGCCATCAAATACTATAAAACTACAGACAACTTACACCTGAAAGAACCAGTAATCAGCACTAGCCGATGACATTATGGGATGCAACAAAATTATTGAAAAGTATTTCTATTTTTTACCATCTTCCGATGGTAAAAAGTGATTGAGGAACATAAGCAATTAATATTTTTTGGGAATAAAATTAAAACATCAAATCAAACAACCATAATTTATAAAGTACTAACTGACACAGACGACACCGTGACTTGTGAATTTAGTTGTGGCATTAACTCCGCCTTTTTATGCAAAGAAAAATATACAAGTTAGTAACGAGAATTCGTAAGCAATTACAACTACTTCGAATATAAAAAAACTGTTAAAATCTTTTCTTCTTCTTCAAATCAATTCTTTGACACTACTGTTCTAGAATCATCGATCAGAATTTAAACAGCTTCATTATTGTTATCCTTATCGCCTTATACTTAGGGTCAATTAATGGTTACGTGACTTCGGATTGATTTCGGATCAAATTCATTACTTACAAATAGTTTAGATAATCTAATCTAGTACCTCTAGTGTTACACTTTTCTCAAAAAATAGAACCAACTTAATTAAGTGTTTGTGAAACTGATTGAAAAAGAGTAACCATGAAGTTTCTTGCTCGTTTTTCTCCATCAGAATCTACACTTTGGAATGAGCAAAGAGCTTTAGTAAGAGTGTCAGATTCTTACTGACTCAAAGCCACCCCGTTTTTCTCCTGCCCCAGGACGAAGTCACTGTACATTATTGACCTTGTACCCTAAACCCCTATTGGATCTCAGCGTACCTACTATATCTTCGACGATATTTCCGAACTATACGCCCATCAAACCATCAAGAACGTACTTTTTTTTTAAATCCCACAATTCCCGACTTAGTTGCTGCGGGTGTCCATAGATAGTGCTGATTGCTAACTATCAGGTGATCCGTCAAATATTTTACCTATCTATACTAGTCTATACTAATATTATAAAGAGGTAAAATTTGTAACTTTGTGAGTTTGTATGTAGGGGGTAATATTTGAAATCGATGATCGGATTTTTAAAATTCTTCCACTGACAGATAGCTATACAATGCTTCTGAGTGCTTTAGGCTATAAAACATCACGCTACAATCAAATGAAGTCGAGCAGCGGTTAAGACCGCGCGAGAGTATCTAGTATTCCATAAAAAATAGGAGTTGTTATTTCAAGGGATTCAAGATAAGTAAATAATAATGTATAATAAATACTTACATTTACTTTTGTTCAAATCCCAACTGGGATTTTTTGGATTAAGTCCGATTAGCGAGTTCATTTTAATTTAATTTGAGATTTTGTCAGACAATCAGTACCTGTAACAATACAAAATATAAATTAAATAAAAATATAGATAGAGAGCGAATGTGAGTTAAACGCTTACTTATAGTAAGCATTTAACTTTAAACGTGAAAAGCCACGTATTAAAAAAAAATTGTCGAAAACTAAGGATACCATACCATACCTAAAGTTTTTATGCACCACTGATAAACTGAACCGAATTTGTGAAAAAGATTAAATATGTAGTTAAGTCGAGACCATAACGAATACCTACAGTTATTAAAAAAAAGAACATACCGTATTTATTTAAAATTCGCTTTTGCATGAAACTATTCAAAAACTAAATACTTACCACAAAATTATTCAAAAAAAAAGTTACAAGATTAGCAATAAGCTAAAAAAAAAAATATTTAAATTAAGAATACAATACGAGTACTACCATTCGAACTTTATGAATTCTAAAACCGAACTAAATTGTTAAATTATTTTAGCAATTAGCTACTGCTATATCTAATAGGAAAAATGTTGCAAGGTTGAGGTTACAGTATATTGATAGAAGAATCTTATGTCATTGTAATAAAGATCAAAGTTCAGCGTGTTTTTGGTTCGACAAAGTTTAATACCCAATTAGGTTTGCCTTGTAACGGTAGCAATGTTTTTATCAGTTTTAATACCATTTTTAACAGTTTTAATGCCTTTTTTACCATAGTTAAGTTAAAATAATCAGTACTTTTATTCAATAGATTAAGGCGCAAATAAAAAACACTTGAAAGTCACGTAGGTAACGTGTGACTTTCCAAGTGTTTTAAAACAAGGAAAATCTGTCTGCATATAATTCGCGCGAATTTATTTTCGCACATTTGCGTTAAATCTGACAATATTTCCCGATTTTTTGTGCATAATCACATACTATTTTATGTGACATAGCGTTAAAAAACTTTTTGTGAAATGTAACAACAGAGATTTTTTTATGTAATAGGTCGGCAAACGAGCAGCCGTATTACCCGATGGCAAGCAATCAGCGCCGCCCATGGACACCCGCAACGGAGGAGTTAGGAGTACGTTGCCGACCTTTTAGGGATTAGGGATTTGGAGATTTAAGGGATTGAGAAGGGATTGGGGAAGGGGAAGGATTGGGCCTCCGGTAACCTCAATCACACGGTGAAACACAACGCTGTGGTTGTTTCACGCCGGTTTTCTGTGAGGTATCACTCCGGTCGAGCCGACCCATTCGTGCTCAAGCATGGCTCTCCCACCCTTAACGATATGTGAAATCCTGAAGCATATTATATTTAAAACTCAGATCTTCATCCTATCTTATCTGTAAACCTAGAAAAACTTTTACGTCAAACGTTGTACGCAACAAAGGAATCCATAATTAATTAAGTCCAAGAATTTCAATTGTAGAGTAAAAAAATTATTTAAAATGCTGCATTTTTTTAGGTTATGTGAACAGAAACTTTTTGTTTTTCAATTTAACAAGTAATATTTTTCGAGCCAAAAAAAACATTTATCATAAACATTTACGCAATAAAATTAGTATAATTATGTCATTAGCTAGTTAATTACTCTGTGGAATGCACTCTATTTTTAAATGGCGCTTGAATGAGCTAATGATATCGCTATTAACATAAGAAGCTATTAAGTGTGGGAGAGCCATGCTTCGTCAGGAATGGGTCGTCTCGACCGGAGTGATACCACGGCATCACAGAAAACTGGCGTGAAACAACCACATTGTTATTTCGCCGAGTGATTGAGGTTACCGGAGGCCCAATCCTTTCCCTTCCCGAATCCCTCCTCAATCCCTAAATCTCCAAATCCCTAATCCCTAAAAGGTCGGCAACGCACTCGTAACTCCTCCGTTGCGGGTGTCCATGGGCGGCGCTGATTGCTTACCATCAGGTAATCCGTCAGCTTCATGTTTGCCGACCTATAACATAAAAAAAAAATGACATAAAATTAGTCAATCACTTTTTAAATTCTATCCGCTATTTTTTGCATATAAAAATCGATACCTAATTAATATCTATATTTTTTTGTGAATAGCCAAAAGTAAGTACCAAAACATCATAATGATAAATTTTAAGTATTACCTTAAATATATAATTAAAACCAACTTCATTTAATAAAATTGCATTAACTACAAAATATATCGAGTCTTAATTGGCATTTCTCGTTTCCTTTTTAAGCTATGAAGGATAGCGGGTCATCAGTCTCATCAATACTACCTACTTGACACAAAAACTACGTTGTTTATATACATAAAAGGCTTGGCTCAATGATCATTAAGTGTCGAAGAAGACCCTTTGTTTACTTCCGAAAGTTGTCAGTTTGTCTGTTTATATTTACTTCGACCCCGATGTGTAATTTTAAATAAATAATGGCCTCGTCCTTTACTCCTTTCTTCGTGTCAAGGGCCCTTTAATTCGTCAAAGTTATGTTTTTTGATACTGAGAATCATTACAAGACTTGATTGATATAAATAGTGTGGGATAGCCAGGCTTCGGCAGAAACGGGATAGCTCTACTGGAGTGATGGCCAGTGATATCATGGCTTTACAGAAAATCAGCGTGAAACCGCCACAGCGTTGTGTTTCATCATGTGAGTCAGGTTACTGGAGGCCCAATCTTTCCCTTTCCCCATCCCTTCCATCTTGGCCAGCATCGCACTCAAAACTCCTCCGGTGTCGCGGGTGTCCATTAGCGGCACCGGTTGCTTGCCATCTGGTAATGCGTATTATTATTTTGGTCCATATGATAATATACGGACTAAAAGAATTAAAATAAAATCATTAGTTCACGAAATCAATTTAAATTAATCGCGCACAATGATAACGGCCTGCCTTTTAATCCTTAAGGGGCCACCAGAGATAAACTGAGATAATGTAAGACTCATTTTTCACAGACATACAAAAGCTTCCGGTACAAAAAGAGATGAGTCAGATTGCAGACCTCACTTTTTGATAAACCGAAAAGTAAAACTTTTGCCGATAAGAAAAGAATTGAGCTATTGTTTGAGTGAATTCAAAATAATTAATTCTCATGAATTGGAAGTTACAGAAATTGTTAAGAAGATCATTAAAGTTCAACCATATTACACGTACCTATTAGGTTACCTAGTAGCTCAGTAATCTGGCTCAGCTCTTTTTGTACATGAGTGATAAAAATGATTATAAAATCTTACAAATTGACATTAGAAGGATAGATGAGCAGCCGGTTTTATAAAGTACCAGTTGAACTGAGACATACTAGAATCAAACGTTATTATAATGTAATATTTTCGAAATAGAACAATGTTTGTATATATTTATTTACCTATTTACTGAGACATATTTCTGAGAATATCTAGGAGGAAACATGAGTACCTATATTAAGACGTAATGAGTAATAAATAGGTTTATTTTGTATTGACTTCAACGTTCCGAAATAGGTTATAAATCTACGTGTAGGAAAGAAGTCCTCCGACACGAAAGGCTCGGCTAGAACGGAGTGATAGCACTGGCTTACAGAAAACCGACGTGAAACAGCGCTTGCATTGTGTTTGCCACCCTATCATACAAAAGCGAGTAAATTAAAATTACGACTAATATGTTAAAATTTATATTTTAACAGCTGCTATTTTATACATATAAGTCACAGAATATAATGATTATTAAAGTCAGTATATAATGGAAATTAAAAGCATAATTCCTTTGTTAATGAAAAAATATTGTCTAAGACATTTTTTTTTTTTTGCTATAAGATCGAATTAGATAATCAAATGTGATTACGATTATGATTTTATCTCAAAATTACTTCCTAACACAAACAATTGTTGAATTATGTAGTTTTATTATTCTTTTGTAAAGCTATTATTATTATTCTAGTTTTATTAATAGTAGAGGCTCTATAAAAATAATAATTAAGGGTAAATAAAAACACGTGAGATAGCGTGTTAAAAAGTTTGACTATCATTAATTATGATTGATTGTTGTTTAAGTACAGGGGTCAAACAAAATGTGACGTACAGACACAAAGTGTTTTCCACAATTTTCATGTTTATTTTTATGTCGGTCGGCTAACGAGCACATTTATTTCCAGGCGGCTATAAGCAATCGCCGCGCCACCCATGGATACCCGCAACACCAGAGGAGTTACGAGTGCGTTGCCGGCCTTTTAGAGATAAGGGTTTCGGAATAGGAAAGTCCGGTAAACTCACTAACACGGCGAAACACAACGCTGTTTCACGATGGTCTTAAGTGAGGCCGTAGTATCACTTTGGTCGGGCTCGACCCATTTGTACAACAGAATCCGTGTTTTTATATGACTTTGCCCACTTCGAGTAGATACCGCACAGCCAACGAGACAGTCAACGAAAGTGGTCTCAACTGCCAAAATTAGTCCTCAACGACAATTATAAAAAGCAACCGCTGCAACTTTTTCCTTGTGAAGTAACGTAAAATTGCACACAGATTCCGGCCTACGGCGATGACGGTGTTTTTGTTTTTACTTTTTTACGTATGAATCACATTCGTGAACGCGCACGCACTTTCTCATTGCTCAAAAAGTGATCGAGTTTTAAATTTTGTGTTATGTTTTGTTTCGCAGTTGAAAGACACAGCTGACGAAGTGGCCGGGCAACCGGTTGCCATGCGATGCATGTCTTAGGTTTCGATTCCCGCACGCAATAAAACTCTATGTGATCTGCGAATTGTTGTTTCGAGTTTGGAGGTTGATGCGCTTGTAAGATAATGTTTTATGAAAAAAAAATATCAGTCATGGCATGCTCAAAAATTAATTTTTGTCTAGTATTTTACATTACCTACTACAAAGCGTAAAACAGATTGATGAAGAGTAGAGCAAATAATAGGTTCTGCCGTTATGCAGTACTGGCCAGTACTATAGAACGGCAATTTCATAGGTAAAGACCTATTATTTCACATAGACATACAAATTAATAAACTATTTTATAGTTTAGTTTTTAATTTATTTGCATTTCCAAATCATGTACTTATTACTTTTTGTAAATAAATATTTCAGTGACCGAATTCTAACTTATCTAAAACGTTGCATGTATTAAGCGTTAGAAAAGGTGCTTATTATAATAATCTTAATAATATTGCTTCTATTTTAATAAAACTAGGCTGATATTTACATTACAAATGATGTCATTAACGTACAGGTACTACATTCTGAAAAGACGTAGAATAAAGACAAAAACATCGTGAAGAATTGAAAACAAACATTGAGTACCAAGTGTATTGTAGGAATATCAACCTTACGTTCCACGTCAAACATGGCGTTAGAAAAAATAAGGTAGAAAATTTAACCCACACTTAAATTTTCTACCTTATTTTTTTAGAGCCACACTTCGTCACAACAGTAAGACTGTGCCCTCACAAACAATTTTTGTGCGTACTGAAACCTCGCTTCTGTTGTGTATAGCACCGTGACTGTGCATCCGTGACAATGGAGTTACCAGAGGCCAATACTCCCCCATTAAAGGCGCAATTGTACATAAAACCTTATTATCGGAACAAATTATGATGGACATAATTACGTAAATATAATTGATGATAATATAATTCAAAGTCAAAGTCAGAGTCAAAATATTTTTCTTCCAACTAAACGAAAATATTACAAAACTAAACTTTTGAAACGAAAAAACAGAATAAGTTAGGCGGTCTGTGCGTCAGTAATATTATAATCATAATGTACGTCAGTGAAGTTAGGTAGATTTTTTTTTTATTCAATTACGTATAAGGTTACCGGCTCTAAATAAAAAGTTAAGACTAACTACGAAAAAATTACTATAAGAATACACAATGAAGTTACCTCAAACTAAATAATTATAAATTTGAATGTGCACCAAAAAAAAAATTTGCTAACAAGTTGAATATACATATACGTCTTGAACTAAGGGAAAACGTTTAAAAATATGTATATACTTTTATATGTTACTAGCTACTCTCGCGCGGTTTCGCCCGCTGGTCGATTCCATAATGTTTTATAGCCTATAGCACTCAGGAACATTGTAGCTATCTATCAGTGAAAGAATTTTGGCAATCCGACCAGCGGTTCCAAAAATTACCCCCTACATACAAACTTACAAATTTTACTTCTTTATAATATTAGTATAGATAAATGCTTACTATAACCAACCAATACATTTATTCCAAAGTGGAGTGAAATGATCATGTTTCATCATCGCGTCGTTAATAGACTTCGTCTTTCAAATTTCATATATGGAATATGTTCAAAACCGAACAAAGGAACACAGTGCACAATAACATTCATTCTATTATAATGCTTAACTCCCTTGACATAAAGTACATTATCTTGACAAATACGTTGGTGTTTATGCTTATGTTGTAAATCCCTTGAGGGTAAACCCTATTTCCATAATGCATGATTCTTGCTTGTTCTATACTAGTTATAATTGACTTGCATGTTCTAAACAATATATGTATTATTATGTATTATATACTACGGGTCCTGGCTCTAAATAGAAGAAATAACGGTTGGTTTTCAGTCAGTAAACAGTCTTACACTCTTCTTCGCCCCGACTGGAGGGCCCGGAGAAATTATTTGAAGATTTTCCCTCATAGGTACATAAGTTTTTTTATGTAATAAGTCGGCAAACGAGCAGACGGATTACCTGATGGTAAGCAATCAGCGCCGCCCATGGACATCTGCAACGGAGGAGTTACGAGTGCGTTGCCGAACTTTTAGGGATTAGGGTTTGTAACCTCATGGCGAAACACAACGCTTTGGCCGTTTCACGCTGGTTTTCTGTGAGGGCGTAGTATCACCCCGGTCGAGCTGACCCATTTGTGCCGAAACATGGCTCTCCCTAACTTTGAAATGGCTGTCCCACACTTAAAAGTCACAAGCATCACGTAAATGAGCCTTAAATTTGTTTAATTCAACTATTGCTCTTAT